ATTAATATGTATCAAAAATTTCAATTTTTTAAAAAATGTCTCAGAACCCCATTTTCCTAGCAAACTTCCCATATATTGAGGTATATAGAATGTATTGATAGGTGTATCATTAGACAGAAAGAATTTCAATTTGAGAAGTTTACAAAAGGATCCCATGATTTTGTCGCAAAATTTATGTCCTAAAAAGATGAGCTGTGTTCTATACATAATTCTTAGTAAAACCATAATATTGAAAATATAGGTGATTTGTTTGTCTGCTAGAATTTTTGACTTCATCACATGAGAGGAAGTGTAAATGTCTTATTGAACTTGTTGTTGGATAAATTGTTTATTATGTGATATTAAAATCCATATTCGAAGGTATCTTATGGATGTATTATATTTAGCTAGAATAAGGTCAAGAGAGGAAGTGATAAATGAAAATATACAGCATTCTGATTCTTGAATGGAAAGAGAAGTGTCGATTTGATCCAATTGACCTGAATAGAATTTAATTAGTAGAATCTATTTGTGATGGTAATCAAATTATTTAAAGAATTTTTAGATTGCAATAGCCAAAGGTAGTGTTATATATAGACGTTGTTCCGGTGATTTTTGGCAGACACAGGACGTCTGAAAGTCCATGTCTGGGACTGTATCCGCAGGACAGTTGGGACATAGACCGATATTAGATATTTTTTGGCCAGAATTAACAAGAGATATGGTCAGCATTAATGCGGACAAAAAGTCCTAGACATAAAAAAATCTCAGACATGAACACGAATAGTCTGGTCTGATCTGATCCATGTCTGTATTTACGTCTCATGATAATACTAGCCAAAGGGTATCATTCATATATACTAAAACTGCAACGTGAACCAAACTATGGTGATGAGGCATTCACTAGTCAAAATAATCTATTTTGTCACTTTTTTAATGTGCCGAATATTGGCCAAAATATAATATAATTTCTGCTGATCATTGCCAAAACAATCGGCATTTTTAGTTATAACTGAAGTTGTCCAATTCAGATGTCATACAAAAACATTTGACATTAACGATTAGTAATTATTTGATATATCACTAGACAAAATAATACAATTTGTCACATTTAAAGTACTGAAAGTTAGCCAAAATATAGTCTTATTCTGATAATTATTACCAAACAATTGGTATTTTGAATAAATAAAAAATCAGTTATCAATCAGCATTTTATGTTAAAAATTGGTTAAAATTCAGCTTAACATCAGTCAACAATCAGCAAAAATTAATTAAAAAATCGAAAATAATAAATATTATTTTTGCTTATTTATGATTTATAATTTTATTTTATTATTACATAATAAATTACTCAAAAAAGAATATATATTGTATTATATTTTATTCAAAAAAGATACATTTGAATTTTTAAAGATAAGAAAAAATAAAGAAAACAGTTAGAAAACCTACCAAAAAAATATTTTCAAAAGGCTAACCTTAAGGTATTCCTAAAGAAATGTAAAGAAAAAATAAAGAAAACAGTTAGAAAACACCAAAAAATCACATTCGAAAGACTTACCTTAATGTATTCCTAAAAAAAGTAAAGAAAAAATAAAGAAAACAGTTAAAAAACACTAAAAAAATCACCTTCAAAAGGTTTACCTTAATGTATTCCTAAAAAAAATAAAGGAAAAATAAAGAAAACACTTAGAAAACCTATTAAAAATCACTTCTAAAAGGCTTATCTTAATGTATTTCTAAAGAAATGTAAAGAAAAAATAAAGAAAACAGTTAAAAAACATCAAAAAATCACCTCTAAAAGGCTTATCTTAGTGTATTCCTAAAAAAAAGTAAAGAAAAAGTAAAGAAACAGTTAGAAAACCACCAAAATACCACCTTTAAAAGGCTTACCTTAATATATTCCTAAAGAAAGTAAAGAAAAAATAAAGAAAAAAAGGTTAAAAACCATCCAAAGTATTTTTCGAAAGGCTTACCTTAGTTTTAAAGAGAATTTTTCTAAAAAAATCAAAGAAAAACAAAGAAAAAGGATTAAAAACCATCTAAAAGTTACTTCCAATTTGCTTATCTTAATTTCCAAAATAAGAATTTCCTAAAAAACAAGAAAAAAGAAAGGAAAATGCTACAAAAGTCACTTCTGATTTGCTTACCTTAATTCTAAATAAGAATTTCCTAAAAAAACAAAAAAAAAAAAGGAAAAAGTTAAATTTCTGCCCAAAAATCACCTCACTAGAAAAAATTCTGAAAGTTAGTCAGTTTTATACAGTAAACTGAACTAAAATTTCGATTAATCTGAAATTTAGATATTATTTTTATAAATGTTTTATAGCTAATTTCATAATTCATGGACCATTAATAATTTTTCAGTCGCATTCAGTCGCAATATTTTATAGTAATTTTATTATAAAATATTTTCAGTCGCATTCAGTCGCAATTTATTAGTGGTTCACGAATTATGAAATTAGCTGTAAATGAAAGATTTTGCATCATCCGATTGGAAAGATATAAAAAATCTTTTGAAAGGAACGATAATTTGATCGTTTCTTAAGAATAATAACAAAAAGCGTTCAAAAGGAATGATGATTTAATTGTTCCTTAAGAATAATATAGAAAATCATTTGAAAGAAACAATAATTTGATCGTTTCTTAAGAATGATGTAAAAAATTGTTCGAAAGGAATGATAATTTAATCATTTATTAAGAATGATATAGAAAATCATTTGAAAGAAATGATAATTTGATCATTCCTTAAGAACAATATAGAAAATTGTTCAAAAGGGATAATAATTTGATCGTTTCTTAAGAACGATAAAAAATATCATAGTTCTTGTGAAATGATGATAAATCATTCCTTTAGAAACAATTTTCATCATCTTTTTGAAAATGATTGTTCATTCCTTTAGGAATAATTTCTAATATTCCTTTTAGAGATGATTGTTCGTTTCTTTAGAAATGATTTTTATCATCCCTTTTGGATTACTCTCAGAATGTTTTTATAATTTTGTGACCAGTAAATACAGTTGATTTGTTATCAAATATTGAGTCTAACTGAAATTTTGCTGAATATTATAACCGAAAGGTCTTAATGCTGAAATAATGCTAAATTATGTGTGATGAAACAAATTACTATCAATTTTTGTAACTTAAGCTGAATTATTTCTGAATCATATGACTGAATCAGCTGAATGTTAGACGAAAGATCTAATGCTAAAATAATGCTAAATTATGTGCAGTGTAATAAATGACTATCATTTTTGTAACTTAAGCTGAATTTTTACTGAATCACATGACTGAATCAGCTGAATGTTAACTGAATGATATTAGTGCTAAAAGAAATGATTTTGACTAGTGATTTCTTTTTTTGTGTTTAAAAGATGAATTTACTTTAATATTGTAACTAAGAGTATATCTTGCACTCAGCATAAAAGAAGATCAAAATATATGCATCATAATATAGATGATAAAATTTCACCTTAGTCAATGCCAAAAGAACTGGAAATTTAGAAGAAACACCATGTGCCGTCAAAACTTGATTAAACCAAAATGCAAATAGTAATGAGATCAACTCAATAAAATTGTTAGATAGATATAGTCTAATAAGTGTCTTATAACATTCTAAGGTTGACTCTATCATAAACTTTTGATATATCTTAAAATAATATCCATAAATGGTTATGATGAAAATATGTATCCTTTTTGATATGATCTAAAATAAAGATAAGATCTTTTGTAGATCTATAAGAAAGTTCTGCAAAGTTATATTCTTTAAGTATGTTATGTTTGAATAAAGTATCTAATAGCCAAATGTTTATAAGTTTGACAAGAGTCTTTTGCAGACATTTTAAGAGTGTAATAGGTCTTGTATTATTTAGATCATTTGTTTATGGCTTTGGTTTAGGTATTAGATATATAAAAGCGACAGACTTGCCTAGACAATTACTAATAAAGATCCAAAAGATTTGTTTTGTCTAAACACCTAGATGTTTAAACATTTCATTAGATATCTTGGATAGTCCTAGGGCTTTATTAGATAAAAGTGTATTCACAACATCCTCCTATTCTTCTTCAGTTAAAACAGTCATAAGATTATTGTATATTGTAGAATCAATATATCCTTAGAGTAATACTATAGAAGTCATTCATCAGGAACAAATTTGGAGTGGTAGACTGTACAAGTAACTCTTTGAAAATGTCTTTAAATCTTATTGATGACGTTATTTGAAAGTAAACCTTTATTATTACCAGATCCATTCATGCATCGATCTAAATGAATTATATTTCTGTATTTATTGATAAGAGAGTCTATCATATTAGATTTACGATCTTTATAGTTTTGGCATCATTTTTTCAACGCTATTTTGATGGAAGCTAATTTGTATTCTTATTCCATAAGTTTTATTTTCGTAATATAACTATGATAAAGCTATTTGATGAGAAAAGCGTTGATAAAGACTTTGGTTATTGGGTCTATATGCTTTAAGAATGAAATTTGCATTTTCTGGGTAATCAAAATAATTCAAAATATATAGTTGTTCTATTCCTCTTTAAAGATCTGTGTTTTAATAATGTTTAAGGTAAATCTTGACTATTTTTGAATACTTTTAAGAATACTGTAAGATTTTTTCAAGAGTTTGAGACAGAGGTTTTTATTATGAGTGTTGGATTGTTTACTAAGTATTGTAATATTAGCTGCTGTAATAATAATGCTCTGAAGAATATTCTAAAAGAAGTTGATATTATTTTTACATGTAAGATAGCTGATATCGATGTCTTTAATAGGGCTATTGATTAACAGAGCATCCATTTTGAAAGTAAAATTGCTCCAATTTTCTTGAATCACTTTATTCATATTAGAATACGTCTTTTTGATTGGCAAAGAGGATCATTTAGTAACAAGTTCAGAATATTTCAAAACTGTAATGAGTATATAATGATTAGACAAATCTGTTGAGACAGAGTGCTTTATCATTTGAGTAGCCAGTTCTGTAGAACAGTAAATATGATCGATTTTACTTGAGATTAAAGATGGTTCCCATAATTATTTTTAAAATTTTTAACTAATTGCAACTTAAGTTGCAACACTTTGAGTTGCAACATTTTATGAATTTTTATATTAAAATGAATTACAGGGAGTTGCAACCAAGTTGCAACTCAAGTTGCAACTTACCGAGTTGCAACTTCTTAATTATAGTGCTCATCTTTACTTGAGATACATCTATTTCTATAGAAAGTAGTGAATCTTAAATTAGCATTATCATAGTATATATCTCCAATGTTGAATAAGTTCCAATTGGTTAAGATATGAAAGAACTGATTTGAATGCTTGGGATTTGTAAGTCTTTTGGAAACAGCATTAAGGTCTCCAACAAAGATCACCTGCATGGATAGTTCAAAGTATACATGAAGTTGAAATAAATCATTTCAGATATCTGAAATGGTCGAAATGGTCTAAATCAATTTTTTTTGATACTTTTACTAGGCACGCACTGATGGTAAAGTTTAGCTGCATACCTTTCAATAAAACGATGCATTATTGTTCTATCAAAATGATTCTTTTATCATTCCTTTAGAATAATGTTTTATCATTTTATCAGAACAATTTTATTTATCATTCCTTTAGAATGATATTTAATTGTTCTATTAGAATGATTCTTCTATTATTTCTTTAGAATAATATTTTATCATTCTATTAGAATGATTTTTTTTATCATTTCTTTAGAATGATGCATTATTATTCTATCAGAATAATTTTTCTATCATTCCTTTAGAATAATACATTATTGTTCTATTGGAATGATTTTATTTATTATTCCTTTAAAATAATAATTTATCGTTCAATAACTCAAGTTAAATTGAGTTGAGGTTTAAAAATTTTTTTGACCTGAGTCAACTTGACTCAATTT